TGTGTGTGTGTGTGTGTGTGTGTGTGTGTGTGTGTGTGTGTGTGTGTGTGTGTGTATGTGTATAAGTATATTCACACACACACACACACACACACACACACACACACACACACACACACACACACACACACACACACACCACACACACACACACACACACACACACACAAACACAACACACACACACACTCTCACTCTCACATTTCCACATGTATTATACAGTATAAGGTTCAAGTGAATTCTCTCTCTGCAAGCTCACCTTTGGACCATTTCCTGGCCAAGCAGCTGTCAGGGCTCAGCAATTACAGGCATAGTAACAAGCAGTTGGCAGTGGCTGGCTTTCATGTGTATGGCAAGTCTTCTTGAAGCTCTTTTGCCAGGTTGAGTCCAGCCATCCGTCCATATGCACTGTCAACCACTACCATTACTGCCATTTTTCTTTTTTATAGCAATATATTATTCAACATTTTGTTCCATGAACGGTAGCACACTTTAACTTCCATTTTGTTTTCCCTTTTTTAAGAAATGGAGGTTCTGATATGTCTAGCATTTATGTTGCCTCATGGGTAAGTTATAAACATTAAGTCATCTCACTTTTAAGTTCTTTGTTGTGGAACTGGGAAAAAAGACATGATTTTCTATCTTTATATAGATAAGGTATTATTTATGTAGGGCTTGGGATGAGGGAAAAAATAGTAGTAATGATTAGGACACTGTGTTTCACACCAAAGAATTTTTAAAGTGCAGTGTAGCATAGCGAAATCTTTTTTTTTATTTATGATAGATTCATTTAGTGTGAACAGTGGAGCACTGAGTATCAGGAACATTTCAGATTTGTCAAATAGGTGGTTGGCAGTGGACTTAGTATTAATTTTATTTACAGTAGATTTAACATTTTACTTTAATATGCTCTTTGTATGCTGGGTTGAATGCTCAGTTCTCCAAAGGCAACTAATATTGCATCACTGTATGTACTCATACTCAGGGTCTGGTATTGGAAGCATCTATGTGATTTTCCATCTTCATATGTACATATTTCTGAGTTGGTCAAAATTAGACAGTAAGTTGAGCTGTTCATGTCTGTGTTGTCTAATATTTATTTATTGAATTCCTCCCAATATAGTACAATTTACATTTGTATTTGTAACACTGATATGTTTTCTTGTTGGCTATCGGATTGACCAGTTTGACCAAGAAGAGTGAAATAAATTGATGCATAATGATACTTTAACAATGTAGTACCAGTTTGTGATTCACATTATTGTTGTAAACTGCTGTGCTATTGCTGTAATAAGGCTTACAGTGTTGTCAAATATAGCAAGGTAAGAATGAAAAAGCAACCAGTGTGGGCATCATAATCATATAGCTCAGTTTACAGTAGGCATTTATAATTTTAAAGATGTTATTTTTTATATTTCAGCATTCATGAAGTATCTGATATTTTAATATTATAAAGCCATTTTTAAGTTTTAAGGTCATATGTATGTAAACTGAGATGATATGACAGTTATGAATTATAGAATTATAGATACAGTCTATGGAAACTTTTCTTTTGATTCATACACTGTACAAAGATTATCTTTTATGATTGTTGCTTTGTTTATATATAGTTTTCATTTTTTTATTACTCTGAATGTATCTTTGAAGTGATAACAACTAAAAAGAGAGTAGAAGGAAAATTGTGTTAAATTTCAGGTTGAAAATTTACAGCATAGGCTTGTTATTTCCATCATTATGCCATATTTTAAATTTTATTTTGAAATTTGTTTACATACTTACCTTCAAGGTTTCTGTTTTGCTCATGTTGATAAGTACTTCTGGTACACTAAACTTTCCCCTGAGAATAGCTCATCCTCAGTCGAGCTACTAATTGAGAGCGTGTTAACTGAAAGTATATTAATGAGTAAAGGTTGAGATGCACTAAGCATTATTGAAATTAGAGTACTCATGATTAACATGCAGATGGAGTGTCCTCCATTAATAAGGAAATGTTAGGGTAGTCATTGTTTTATGTACACATCATCATGTAACTAAGTAATACATATTTTTTTAGGAATTTGTTGCATGATACTTTTAAAAAATCACAATAGGTTGAATTGCACCTGTAAATTGCAGAAATGATTTACTGGTTAGCTAATACAGATGCTGGCAAATTTTGCCATCAAATAGAAAGAATTATCTAAGTTTGCTATATGAAAACAGATGCCAATTTCCCTTGCAAAAAAGGTAAAAAAATAGTATCAGCATTTTTTTCTATGTGTAGTGTTATTGTATATGTTAATACGTCACCCAATTTTTTTTTTTTTTTTACAGTGATTGGCAATAGAAGTATGTAATCATATTGTTAACCCCATGTTGCCGGGAAAATGTAGTGTTCACTGTAGCATTGTCTTTGTGAAATGTCTATACATAGATGATTCCACAAGTGCTTAACCACCAAGAAGTTGTGACTGTGATCTCACATGATGTTATCTTTCCTTGAGTTTTCAGAAAAAAAATTTGCTAGTGCTACAAATATTGATGCTGTTGTTATTATTATTATACACTCAGTAATTATTATAATGTTATTGACATTCTAACAGGAATATAACATACAAGAAAAAAAAAATTAAGGAGAGAGTAAGTAGGTGAGGTTGGCAGTACTAGTAAGTGGCTCATTGGTGACAGTACTTTTAGCCATGTATGTGTAACAGTAATTAACAAACCAAACTCACTGTGAGCATATGTACATGTCATCCCAGGCGACATCGGATTAACACTATCTATTACCCAGACAGGCATATTCATGACATAAACTTTGTAAGAAAGTCTTTGTCATAAAAGAATAGGCATAGCAAAATTGAATTGGGAACAGTATGTAAAGGAATTAATACAAGTTGTGAAATATGTTGGTTGTTAATTGTTTTAGAAATTTTATACAGTTATTATTGATTTTTTTTACTGTTGGAATTATATGTATCATATCAATAAGCTCTGACATTTAGAAACATAACTGAAAATGGGCGTAGTTGAAAAAGTCATCTTTTGATTGTGTTTGGTTGTCACAGAATAGGATTTGGGTGTGGTTAGACTGCTGTGTTAACTGAATTTCAGAAGCCATTAATAGTTTTATGTTGATCATAGCATGTTGAAAGTTATGCATTCTTAATTTACACAATCAATGTACAATTGCTGTTGTTAAAGCATCAGTGGAAATGCTTTCTCTACGATAGATTTTGATCTGCTGCAGCAGTAAATGCATTACTGATATTTATTAAAGCACAAAAATATATAATCCACTGAAAACACATACATGAACAGCTTGTTATGTGTTGTTGTGAACTTCAAGAATGAATAGTTGAAAGTAAAGAAATCATATTTTGCTTAAACTTCTTGAATGAAAGATGCTTGTGAAGATCATCGTAATTTTAGTTATGCTAGTTGTAGAATTGATATATTTGTCTCAGTTGCAGTGGGCATTTATTTCTAGGTGTATGAAACATGCTCAATAGCATATCAGTATGGTGTCTAATATTCAAATGAGTTTGTAAGTTTAATATACAGGTTTATGATATTTGATTCTTTAATTGTCAGACAAGAATATAATAAAGACTGAAAGAATTTGTACAGAGACTGTACTAACATACAATAGATATTCAGCTGTGAAGTGATAATAAATCAGCTTATAAAAGGACCTTCTTGAATATCTGTTGTAGCATACTCAAATTCAACTTTTTTTTTCTAGAACATTAATCTTAAGCTGGCCAAAGTAGTAATTAAGAGATAAATATGTGAATAAGAAGTGTAAAACTTTAAGTAATGCAAATTCGGTAATATTACAGCGGATTCATTTTTCTTTTTCTTTTTAGAAGCTGCAAATTCAAACCTTGTTATTGCACATTATACAGTTGAAACATTTACAAATATATAATTTCATATGTATATATACTATGTATATATGAGTATCAATCATATTTTAGCATTTATAAAAACAAATCTGATCAACTGTGACACAACTATGTGTTGCAATAGGTTGGTTTTGATTAAAATTTCTTGTCTGCAATTAATATTTTACATGTATTTATTATTGATGAATTTCTCTGTTACTCAACTACTCCATAGTTCAGGATGCCATTATCTCTGTTAAAGGGATTCTTCTTGTGATTGGAATGTTAGACAAAGTTAAGTTTTTGTTTAACAAAGGAGAAAAAAATATTTTGAATCTTACCAGTACTGTTAAGGAAAGTCTAAGCATAAAATGTTTTCTGTGATGCCTGGAACTGTTGATGTTAATGTATGCATGATACGAATGGTAGTGTATTATAGATTTTGTTGATTTTCATTAAGTAAAAAAGAAGAAAAAAGAAAAAAAATGCACAATATCCAGACAATTTTTGTTTTTAATTCTTCTCTTCTTAGTCCTTAGCAGAATTCTACACAAAAAATATATTATATACTGGTAATTTCCAATGTTTCATAGATCTGTGAGTGATACTGTGGCAGATGACAAAGGCCATTTACTTTAACTTGTCCATTTGTGCAATCATAGCATAATTTTGATATGTAAGTTGGAAGTAATAATAAAAAAAAAGAATCTTAGGTATTTTTCAAATAAAATGAAATGTGAATTGAGGTAAATGACATGTTGTTTATATTTTGTACTGAACTGGTATGTAAATAGGAGTGTTTAAGGTATCACTGTTGCCCAGAGGTGCAGTGTACATACGCATTGTATATACAACCATTTGTGCATATGAAGAACAAAAATAAAAAAAAATGAAGATGAATGTAATGTGTTATTGATGTGCCTTTTGTATGATTAATATTTAATGTTAAATGTTTGAAACAAATAAATGTGTTAGACATTGAAGTTTTGTTTCGAAAAGGGTAAAGATGTCAAAGATTAAAGAGAGTTATACGATTGTATGGTAGTGAAAATGGAAAAGATGGGAGCAAGTGAATCAGAGCAGATCAGTAGAGAAAGGGAGGGTTAAGGGGAAGGGCATTTGAGTGAATTGCAG